GTTATCGCTGCTTAAATTACAAAACGCTGTTCAAATTTCAATAACACTCGGTGGGGCGCCAACTTCTCTCGCTCGCTCGCTCTTTCAAGTTGTCGTAACCACATTTTAGGCATCAATTAAAAAGCCGCTAAAGCTTAAGTTAAGAGCAGTACACAATAAATATTGACAATGACAGCAACTAACGAAGCCAACGACAACAGCAACAATAATAAAAAACAACAACATCAATAAATAAATAATTCAACGATGATCTCACAAAGACTGCGGGACAGACAAACAGACTGACAGACAGTCCGACAGACAGACAGTTGTACGGCTGCGGATCGTTCTGGGCATTTGACAGACTGATTTTGAGAGATAGATAACGCCATTTGAGTACTTTGCGTACCCTATACAAAGTTGTTAGAAGGGGTTTAATAAAATGTGCAGATGTTGTGAGAAGAGAGTAGAAGATTTTAGCAAAGCTTTATATTACTGATCTTAGTAAAAGTAATATATACTTGCGTCTGTCTTTCACGATTGATCAAATTAATTAAAAATCGATAAATATTGATATTCAACCCTAGTTAAATAAGGAAGATAATAAACGATAGAGGCTATTTATTTCAAATCGATTAATATCGATATTCAGTCTAAGTTTGATCAAATCGATAAATATGGATATCCAGTTTGGATATGCTAGTTTAACATGGCAGTTAATAATCGATAGATAAACCATATTTCAAATCGACATTCATTTATAGTTTCATTTGTCAGTTAATAAACGACAGATAGAATATAGAGGAAATCGATAAATATCGATATTTGGCAATTATTAAGCGTTTGCGACTTAAAATTTCCTACGTAGAGGTTTGTCAGGCATCCAGTATATCACATTCTAAAGACCTGAGTACGTGTCTATATTTTGACAATTGAAAACTTTTAACAGGGTATTTCCAAGTCGTGCAAGTTCCTAGAACAAGAGCTGCTATTTATTGTTATTTCGCATGTTTGTTTGCTTATATTCAATTTCGTTTTCATGTAGCATTGAGAAATGTCAACAAATCGGAATCACATTCATATTCAAATGATGAAAGTCAAGCCAAGTTTTTGGCACTGAATTGTGGCTTGAATGGGTGATTGTCTGTTTGGCACAGTAACTGATGTTTAACGGGAATTTTGCTAACAATTTCGAATAGCAAATTAATATTGCATTAAGCTCTTAAGCTCTTGATTGACCTGAATAGAACTCTTGTGCTAAGAAAAGCCAATAGAAGTCAACGCAAAGGCAACCAAGCAACGAATCAATCAATAGTTTTATAGATACTAAACACACACTATATACAATCTATATATATATATGTATATGTTTATGTATAGCTTGTCAATTAGCATACATTTGACATGCCATGACGTACAGTTTATAAATTTGTTAAGAGTCCCGGAACGACTATCGTGTGCCGTGCATTATGTACAGCCCATAACACTCAATCACTGAAACTCGCGATGTGCATTTTTGCTCAAATCTATTAAAGCAAACAAAAGAAGAAGAAAAAGTGGCCAAAACACGCAATCTATGCATATTGACAGGATGCCGTTGACGCTAACAACCAATTTCCCTACCAGAAAGAACATTGAAAGAAAGTCTGAAATGCACGCAAACTTTATCTATGCCAACTAATTGTCACATTAAATCGACTAACGAACTAAACGACTGAGATAATGCAAGAGCACGACTTGTAGATACTTCTTATTGGAGAATCGTAAATAAATATTGCTGAATTAGACATAAGAGTTCGCTGAATATATATATTTAGACAAGACTTCTATTCAAAATCTTGAAACACGTCTCAATTGAAATTTTATAAAGATCATTGCTTTGATCGCCAATCAAGCAGTCAGTCATTCAATCAGTCAGTCAGGACAAACAGTTTTATATATAGAGATAAACCATACGATTAATTGGTATACAACATTTTTTGCTAAACCAAAAGATCAAGCAAAAGAAACTATATATTTCTATTACATTATCTACTAGGCTCTGTTGTTGCAAAAATTAATATACTATATATGTCATTATTTAATCGAACCCAAAATATATCATGCCGCTTATCACTATAATGCCTTGGGAAAGGGAATATATATATAAGAGATTAGCATATTTGTTCCTATACTATATTAAATAAAAATAGACACAGATCTGTTAAATAACATTCGACAAATTAATACAAAATTATTTAAATTTGATTGCAAATTAAATGCCAGAAAAATCAATTGCATAAATAACAAAATGACCCCGTTAAAGTAGAACATTGAAAGTGTCAAATCATAAGCACACCTACTCTTCACATATACATAAATATCTGTTATTAATAGATACGCATGAATGTCAGCAGCATTCGAACATAATCGCAAATGTGGATACACAGATACATTTGTATCTGAGCGACAAGTGTAGCCAGACGTCGAGACAATGGCAGCACAGAGAGTTAGCGAAACAATCAGACACCTAATTGCTTGTTGTGCTTAACATAATAACACACCAGCAGGAGGTCACATAAAAGCCTAAAAGCCAACAGGCCTCATTACCAAACCCAAACCCAACCCCAACCCCACTTCCCCTCACCCAGCTGTTTGGGTGGTTGCTTCGAGTGGATTTGGCTGCCAATAAATTGTCGGGCTAGGAAAGAGTAAAAAAAGAGGTAACAGCCAGTTGCTGCTTGCCAACAGCTGAGGGTAAATACACATAACAAACGCACTGCGTGCACATATAAATATTATATAAATTGCCAAGTAAAAGTTTAGTTTGACGACAAAAAACAACAGCAATAGGTATAAGTAGAGCCCAAAGCAGGAGCAGCTGATGATGTCATTTTTGGACACAAATTTATCGATTGCCTTGCAATAATTTATTTAGTAAGCACACACACGCACACACGCACAGACTAGGCCCGAAACACAACGTGTGGACATATTAACCTTGACCTTCAATGACCACAACTAACCAGCCCAATCTATGGCAGAAACCACACAAATAATAACAACTCATAATAATTATAATAAAATAAAATAGTATATATATGGATAGGCTAGAAATTCCTAAAGATGATCTTTATATGGGTCTCTAGAACATCCGAAATTAAAAGTGTTTTAATAAAAATAATTGGAATCAATAACTTTCGTATTTTTGAGCAAAGATATTGTACTCTATTTTTGAACACTTTTGTTTGTAGAATTTTAAAGAATTCTTTGAATTTGGTTCTTATAGCATGTTTGGTTTTGATAACCCTCAACCAAAGAATATATTTGTACTATTTCTTTTATCTTTTCTCTAATCAAATCGTTTTAAGCTATCTCTTAGTTCAACTATATATTTTTCTACATATACATATGTATATACATATGTCAAAAGTTTAGGATAATTGATAATTAAGCATTAATACAATAATCAAACCCGCGGAAAATGAATAAATGTATTCTATTGCCAGCAAATGAGACGTTCGCACAGCTAAGTCGTAATATTTTTCGATACAATGGAATAGCCGAAACCGACATTCCATTTAATATGTCATTATCATTTTATAATGTTGCCAAGTTGATTGTTTTGGTTTGCCAGATAAAACCTTTGTTTTAATATACTTGCGATTATTATTCGTGTAGATTCGTAAAGATGGTCATTTTTGAAGAAGAAATCAACGGATTGTTGATCAACCCTTGAGAGATATAAACTAAATTTATCGGACTACCTGACGTTAATGACGTAAGAAGTCCAACGCAGGAGTTGTTGGAATATTTGATCTATGAGGGTGAAAATACATGAAACACATTTCTTCTATTGTCATTTTAAGCACCCACAAGGGTAGCAAATGCCCGAAATCGTTTGCATGACACATTTTATGGCTCATTTTTTTAACGTTTTACTGATTATAAAAAATAAACCCGAAAGTTTCATGCTTAACCAAAGTTTTAGTTTTAATCCAAAAAGCTCTATACTGATTTTAAATCCAATTCCAATCAGTCTAATGCTAAGTTTCAAGTTCATTTTAGTTCAAGGATCCACCCGCAACCGCGGAAAATGGGTGAAAACCTACAAATAACAATTTAAGTGCAAGCAAAGCTACTTGTTTACATTAAAATACTTCCCATTTTTATTAGCTAACCAAACATATTAGCAATTGCCTTTGTTGACAGTACACAAATACTGAATCGGAAGCTACACACTTTGCATAATTGAGATATCTTTGTACTTTGCGCTTCCACCTATGGCGCCTTATCAGTTTGGCCAAAAAAAAAAAAACATTGCAAAAAAAATTATTTGCAAATGAATGATTTATATAACACGCAAAGCTATGCGATAACAACAGAAAACACTTAGTCGACTGGCAAAAAAAAAGAGATATGACAAAATTGAGAGCAGCAAAAAGCTAATCAAGCAAGTGAAGGACATGTTCAACTGATTTGCCATCAGATGATCGATTGCCTAATGCCAACGAAGCTAACCGAGGCAGCAAAGTGGTATGGAATAGAACCCAGGTGAACACAAGAATCCGATTCTATTTTTACTAATAACCAAACCTGAAACTAGCTTTACATAAAATTGAATTCAGTACAGGCTAAAATTTGGCCAATTATTCGATTAGTCCATCCATCCATAATCTAATTCCGTTTTCGGATTGGATATTTTTTAAGCAACTGGTTTGTAGAAAGTTTTGGCACGTTAAAAAACAAATAGTTATAAGAAGAAAATAATTAAAGAAACCAAAAACTGGGTTTATAGACGTGAAGAACCAAAGAATCGAACCGTAAGCCGATAAAAAATGAGATTTGTTTTGAGAATAATATGGCAACACTTACTTTGCTTAATTAAAAGTCCGTGAAGAAAAGAACCAAAAACTGGGTTTATGCACGTAAGGAATCAGAGAACCAATCCCTAAACCGATTCACCAAAAAAAGACTAAAAGACTACTAACATTCCAGCCTCTAGCGGAGGGATTTAAAAACTGAATGTCTGTCTAATTTACCTCGTTTCTCCTTGATGTGACTGTCGTACTGGGAATTGCTGCGTGCGAAATTGATCGACGCCATGGTGGATTGGAACTCCTGGTATTCGTGTTCGGATTCGTTGTGGTTGCGGTTACTTTGTGTCGCTTGAGTCTGATAATCCTGACGCAGACTCTTGCTGAAAGTACCAATGCCGCTCAAGGCGTGCGCCGATGAGGGTGTTGTGGAGCGCGTCGGAGTGGACACAATCACAAGACTGCTGGCCGGTACGCCCTCGGTATCGGAATCGTTATCGATGACGTCCGCGTCGACGTCGGCGTCAGCGTTGACGTCGTCTCTGATGCGTATTTGCGAGGCGGTAAACGAGATATCGCCCGAGGGGCTTGGGGAATTCAAACCGATTGATTTACGCGACGTTGAGGACTTCCTTTCGGACCTATCGGACGACTGGGTTGTTGTTGTTGTTTTTGTGCTGGTTATCGTTTTGTGGCTAACAATTTGACGGGATTCTTCCGTCGAAGAACCGCGCAATTGGCACGTTGCAGCTGGACTGAATACCTCGTCCGGCGTTGCCATTTGCGGTTGCTCCTTCGTGCCAGTCGGCGTGGATGTTAGCATTGTTTTTGTTGTTGATTTGCCCGTTTGCCATGACAGTTCGCTTGGACGCGTTGCCCGTTGCTGTTGCTCCCGCTCCTGCTCCTGCTGCTGTTGTTGTGGCGTCCCGTTGCCACCCACCGGCAATGTTGTTTGCTGGTACAAACGCTGCCGCCTGCGTGGGTTGCTACCCACGGTAATGTCAATGTTACCGGTTGCCATGGCATCCTCGTCGTGCCCACCAAATTGTCTGATGCGTGCGCGCACCGAGCCGTCAGTTTCATCGGGTTGCTCGCCATGCTCACAGCCGGCTGCTCCACTTGATTGTGGCTCCAGCTCATCCTCCAGTTTGATTAATATACGTCTGCCGCCCGCGGTCATGTCCACGCTGTGCGGTGAGGTGACGCTCGAACGTTCGCTGGAGATGCTGGAACGCGACCAGGAGGGCGAATCGCGCGGCGATACATAGCCCTCGCCATGGCGATAGATCTTCTCGTCGGTATAGCCACCATCGCTGGTCCTCGAGGAGGTGATAATGGTGCGGACGCCATCCGCCGCCTGCACCTCGCGCACCGTACGCTCGCCGTCCAGAAAACGCTCCAGCTCCATTTGACGGGATAAATCCTTTTTCACAGTGCGTCGTGTGGTGCGTAGGGTGACATTGAAAGGCGACAGCTGCTCCTCAACATTGCCCAGCTCAGCGCCCGGACTCAGCCGGCTGGTGGTCTTCAAGGTGACATTGAATGGGCTGGGCGTCTGCTCGCTGGTCACCTCGACGCGACGCGGTGTCGTCTGGCGCAGGTGTACCTGCTGAAAGGCCAGCTTAGCTGCCTCCGCTTCGGCCAGGCCGCGTTGTCGCTCCTCGCGCAAACGTCGCTCAATTTCATGAACATCGATATCAAATGGATTCTCTGCATCAAAGTCGTCCGTCTGCTGCTGACGCAGCTCGTCCGTGCCCAGTTCGGCGGGGCGTTTGCCACTGCCATCGGACCAGACCTTCTCATATTGGGCCACCTTCTCGCGCAAGCGATGCGGTGGCGTCTCCGAGTGCTCGAGATTGCTGTTTATGCTGCTGCTGGAGGTGGTCAATGACGTGGTAATGGTCTTCATGTACGTGCGCGTCACAGTGGACGTCTCCAGCTGTTTGGTTTCCTGTTCGACATTCTCCATGGTTTTCTGCTCATGCGCATGGCGACGTCGAACAGCTGGTATTGGGGGCACGTCCTTGCCCATATCAGCTCCATCTCCCTCTGCGCTTCTACTAGCGCCGGCATCTATGGTTGGATCCTTATGCCTGCCTGGATCTTGGCTATCGGCCATGATAGCATCGGTTTTCTAATACGCTTGTCCTTAGGCCAAAATATCATTTGGGTTGGGTTGCCACAGCCTTGTCCTTTTGTCCTGCTTCTGCTTCTGCTGCCGTTCGTTTGGCAGCCAAAATGCAAAATTGATTTTTCTCACGCAACGACAACTACAACAACAACAACAAGAACACCAGTAGCTTTTCCACGAACAGAGTTTTCCTTGCCGGGAACAACCCCCGTGTGGCCCTTTACTTTTGGCCCTGCTCGTAATTTAACTGTAATTTGTTTAAAAGCACACCACAAAATTTTAATCACCGCAGCTTTTTGGAACTTCGATTTTCGGGTTTTTTTTTTATGTATGACACAATATAACACAATATCACATAGTACAACGACGAAGTCTCGCACGCGTCGTTAGGTAAGAAGAAACACGTATTTTATTTGTATGCCTTGAACAAATTTTAATGTAGTTTTCGGCAAAATTTTATAGTCCACTTCTCCACACAATTAAACTCAGACTAAAATGGCATGCCTTCGGCAAGCAGACAACACACATTATAGCCCAGCTTCAGGTTTCATTTGTTCCGTTTCCAATCCGTTGTTGTAGAAAGCCGGTTCGATACTGAGTCGTCGTCAATGTGCTTCGCCTTGTCCAGAGACCAGCAACAGCAGCAGTAGCAGCAGTAGCAGCAGCAGCAGCAGCTCAGAGTACTGGCTGGACTATAGTAATCGTAGTAAAGCTCAAATTTCGAAGAGAGCGCGCGAGCGTAACGAGAGCCGTTGTGGAAAGAGAGCGTACGATTGTGAGAGCGCATAAATTTTATTTACGCATTGCGATGTATGTTTGTATATGTTTACCCACGCCATGCTTACCGCTCCGACAGCACGTACTACCTTTGAACCAACGGCTTGTGCTATCATAGCATGGTACAAGCATCAAGCGGAAATATATTTTGTTGTTAATTACAGCTTAAAATTTTAATAAAATCCGATTGTTAAACAACAAAATTTAAAATTAAACTGTTTATTTGATCTTATGCTTCCCATTGCTCATTGCATCTTTTGTGAATTATTCTCTACTAGCAAAACTCCCAATATGAATTTTATAGTATCTCATTCGTTCAGCCTGCTCTTTTAACCCCCAGTCTACAAAACTGCGTCACCGAAACTGCCCTACGACTATGAAAAATGCCGATACGCAGAAAAGCTCTGTTTTTTATTGGGGTGTACAATTTTGAATGAGAAACGCACTGTAACTTGCGCTCTCACCTAATTACGCTCTCGTTGTAATAAATCATTTAAGTTAACCCGCGCTCTCTCACTCTCTCGCTCGGCGTGTCTACACTACTGCATGTGTATTGGTGAAATTTAAGTACATTTTAATTCTTATTGCGCTTTGCTTTGTTATTGTTGTTTCTTTACGCCTTCTGTGTGTGACATCATGAGCGTGAGAAAATACCAATTACAGACATTGGGTGGTTGGTTCAAACCATCTTACTTGCACACATGCACACTTGTTTATGAATATGAGTGCATGTAATCTAACCCCGAGCGGAGTGCTCGTAAAGCGATTACAAAGCATTTGGCAAACTGCAAATATGTACCGTTTTTAAGTGGCGCCCGCATAGAAAAAGTGGGTCATAGCACATAATAAAGCTCAACTTACAGCAATTAATGAAAGTCATTCATGAAAGCGATCAACCAGTCACAAAACCAAAACAAATGTTTATTTTTTAGCTTACATAATCGTGGCTTGTGTTTATCATTCAAACAAACAAGTTTTCGGAGCTATTTTTGTAAACATGTTGAGTGTGTCTAATGACGTCACGCTTTGGTGATTGCATTGCGTTTTGTTGTTGTCAAAACTAGAAGTTGACCTTACAACCTGAAGCTGCCTGCCATTCGGCAAATTAGTTATGCTCAGACATCTACTTATTATTATTATTCTAATCTAAATCTGTGCAATCATTAAACATAAGGTCGCCACGACTAATGTTTTGTTGATGATATTTACATCAATCAGTTGTTGTATACGCTGTCATCAAACTAAAAGCTGTTAACAGCGCAGAGCCAATAACGTTTCTTGACAGAAGATCTATTTAAAATGCCACAGGCTGTAGAGGGCGTGTTTAATCCCATAAAAACAAGCACTTAAAACTATTAAACAACATGATTTAATTGGGTAAACAATAGTGGCTACAACATCTGGACAGCCTCCAGAACAACAACAAGAATTTCAATATGTTATTGTTCATGTAAGTTTTATTATACAGCGTGAACCACTGTCGGCTGTAAAATGTTAAGTGGAAACACTTGACAGGTCAACAGGGGCGTGGCTATAAATAGTTATTGTAATTTTAATGATAACAGAGAACAGCTGCTGTTAACTCTTTAACGCCAATTGTTAAGAGGGGATTTAGTCGTAATATTATATGGGCTATAAACTATAATTTAGCACAAAAATGAAAAACTTACTTCATAAAAATCTTAGCTAAATAAATTCTGATGGTTCGTGTCTTGTATTTAGTCGAAAAATATTATATACTGTCGCTGAGGAAATATTTTTTCTTTGTTTAGGCTGGAAATATGAGAAGTCGAAATATATTACAGCGTATTTGAAAGTTTTAAGGTATTGATGTAGACCCCAAAACCTCAAAGCTCTAGATCTGAAAATATGACAAAATAACCTCAAGTCCATAACTTTTAAATATTATAGTGCATTGCTTAATAGTTTTTCAAATAAATTGATATCCTAAAAGCTCTTAGCGGCAAATTAAGCAGTCAAAAAAATTTAAATCTTACAGCGAGTTTTAACATGTGAAGAAAATCTGTTAAAAAATCCCTAATTAAAATTCCCTTATTACTAGGTACTTTCATATTGTGTATTTATATGCTAAAATTTCACTTTAAACATTAAACAAAGCAGTGTTAATTTTAATGATGTTTACGATCTTATTAACATATTGACTTTGTGGGCTTTTTGGGTGCCGCTCTCCGATTTCGTCCCTGACTTGTTGACTATATTTAAATCTATCAATCTGCAACGTTCTGTTTGGGTTTGAGCAAAAACCGTTCGCATAAACAATTGTTTCCTCTTTCGAATTTCAGTTTTCAGCACTTTTCAATATTTTGGTTGCCTAAAAATAAACTGAACGCTATTCTATTTATTTCGCACCTAACCATAAAGTTGCTCACTTTAATGGAAAGACAAACGCACATTTTTTTTTTAATTTTTTGATATTTAATTTTTCAAATATTGACTTAAGCGCTACAAGCGTTTTTGTATATAGACATTCATCTAGTTTCTAACCCAAACACACAAACTCGAGTGCTCAGGCATCAATAAATGAGACGGAAAGTCAATTAAATAGCGAATGGTATTCGGGTCCTTCAAAGAGTGGCCAAAATATTTGCACAAAAATTAAGCTATGTAAACCATAAAGACTATTAGCCATCAAAGTATTTTTGTAAGCACACACAGAGCACACACATTTACCAAAGTCATAAAAAGGCAATTAAAAATCGCGCCGAGAACTGTCCACAATTTGATTTGTTTGAATTGCGGCATTTGCATATGTCTAGAAAACATCATTCGTGACCGATATTTACGTGCAGAAAATATTAAAATTAGTTTCGAAATACCTATTTATAGGAATACATTTCATATCTTAGACATTTGCCATGTGGGCGTGGCGTGGGCCCTGCTAAATATAGAGAACACAAATCGCACATCCAGAATGCGCGCACGTCATAATCGAGGAATAAATATTTCGCTTTTAATTCAATTTTATATAAGTGAATCCAACAAGCTTATGCAGATTACATTTATGTTAGACAAACTAATTAAAAAAATTAATTAAGACATAAATCAATCGCATATTGAGAAAGTATATATATCGATTCAAATCGAAAGGCGCCTTCATTTCTTAATTTCTCTAACATCGATAAATATCGATTTCCAGAATATTATCATTGCTATAGACAGACGACTGCTATATAATTGTTATATATAGTTTCTTTTCTTGATTATTCTTATAACTCCAAATTTAAATCTTCTACCAAAAGAAATCTGCCAATTAATTTCCTACTAAATGTATGCTTAATTCTATTTTGACTACTTAATCCTTTATTTTTTAAATAAGCCAAAAAACCAAAAAAATACTTGCGACAATCCCTCGGAAAATTAGTTCAAAAATAAATATACGTTTGCATTGAGAAAACCCAGAGAAACTAAAGAAATGCTGACAAAAACTTAAAACTCTATTTTTAATCACTTTTGTCGCCGCGTGACAAGACAAGTTCGTGCAATGTGAAAAACGGCTCAAATTTGAAAATAGCAGGAAAAAGCAGGGCGAGAAAAGGCTCTAAATATAGCATGGTCACAGCCGATTCCCTAGTCGACATATTATACCAAACATGAAGATATATATGTATATATAAATGTGCATATATATAACATACTGCTAGCCCGTGTTTATTTTATTTCTCGTCTTTTGGCCGGCTTTGTTGCCTAACAAGACAATTGCAGCAACAACAAAAACAACAACAAAAACAACAACAAAGAGCGAGGCAAATGCAGTTTATAAATAACAAAATGAAGGCATTTCCCTTGTGACATCAGCGTTAGCATCATCCGAACATGAAAAGGCATTTTCTCTAAACAACTTTTCAATTCGCCCATGTATGTGTGTATTATGCACATACATGCATACATCCATCAATAGACGCGCCACAGACAAGCTGCGTTTCAGTATAAAAAGTGATCTCATTGACGTTATACTATACATATATATATGTATATATATAGAGTATATACTTACGTCTATATGCAAGTCGTATAAGTCGTAACAAAAGGCTTTAATACTCGTAAACCTTGTCGACGAAAAGTGTGATCACCACAGCGCTTGACTTTGGTTTACAGATCAGATTTGTTGAGGCACACAAAAGCGTTTACAATAACAAAATCTAGCCTAATAGATCAGTTTGGTAATTCGAACAATATTACAAGATCAGATGCAAATTAATGTAAGG